ATTGACTTTTATATATGTTATATATGTGTGCAGCAAGTGACTCAATCAACACCAGGAATTCTGAATTAATATTTCATTTGATTTTTCCGGATTGAGGGATATTTGTGACATAGACCTGCTTCGTTAACGTCTGATCTGGTTCACTCAGGTGTATTAATAGCAGATATCATCACAGACTTGAGCGATCGCAGACTGTCGTTGCCAACGGCTACACACAGCATTTGTCACTCTGATAACCTGCAACGTGATGCGCCTTAAGTTGTTTTTTATTTTAAGCACCAAACTATTGTATCTTTAAATCTTGTATACCGATATATTTATAAAAAAAGATAAATTTTCCATTTTGAGACTTTTATAATGTCATATCCAATAACCTGTATGGGATGGGGGGGGGGGGGCTTAGATCCGTCACTAAATGTCAATCTGGTGTTTGTTCATTTGCAGGGATCGACATGCCACTATTCACAGGCTATGTCAGACTTGCTCCTCTTTCATTACTTTGTCATCAATTCATTTTAGATATTGTATTAAGGTAAAACATAGGGATCAATAATTTGCAATCTGGAATGGCTATCCTGGCGCATTTTATACAGACGGTTACAGATTCTGTACATCTAGCTCGCGGTCAATGTTGTCACTATAGCGACTCGCACATGATTGTAGTTACAAGCATTTCATTTCATCTCTAGATATTGCATTGTATGTCATTACCAAAAACAGCCTGCCCGTGTCATCGCTCCACTCCGTACCTAGGATTGATATTGATCTAATAAGGAAACAAGTTTTTTCTTCCCTTATTCTATTAAAGATTGTCCTGCTGATTTATTCAAAAGATGATTTAAAGATATCGCAGATCGCCTAATTTGTGAAATGGTCTCCATCTTGTTTTGAAGCATCATCACAGAAATTGGTCAAATATGGCACAGAAACGAATTACTTTGAATCTGTGACAGGGTTAGCTCTTTCTAGCTAGGTTAGCTAGACTATGCATATCCTAATTGGCCGACGCTAGAACCATTGACCTCTGGGTTGACCTTATATCTTGTAATCAGACCAAGGATGGTTCGGATATGAGCCATCTGAATGCATGGATCGAATATTTCATGAATAATACTAATAAGGACGATATCGAAAACAAAAAACAATCAGTGCATGGATATATCCTAGAAATTTTCCCTGAAATAGATTTGACAACTCTGTTACATACGAACAGGATGGAAGAAGAATTGATACCGTAAGAGTTCAGCTAATGTTTAACTGCATTTGAAAAGGGTACACTTAGTCTTGGATATCATTTTTTAGCAATAATGCCTTAAATTAATTTCAAAAGTTCAATAACAATTTATTATTAGGGTCCTTATGTTTTGATCTTTCCCTTATAATGGACACAATTGTGCTACTATGAAAAGTGTTTGACATTTTGGTAGACAGTAGTTGAACGCTTTTTTGTTATGAATTGAAGTTCCATCTACTATTGGTGAAATGATGTAATGTTAACTTGTCCTACGTGATGATAGCCTGATGTAATTTTAACTGGTCCTACGTGATGATAACCTGATGTAATGTTTACTGGTCCTACGTGATGATAGCCTGATGGTATGTTAACTGGTTCTACGTGATGATAGTCTGATGTTATGTTAACTGGTCTTACGTGATGATAGCCTGATGTAAGGTTAACTGGTCCTACGTGATGATATCCTGATGTTATGTTAACTGGTCTTACGTGATGATAGCCTGATGTAAGGTTAACTGGTCCTACGTGATGATAGTGGTCCTACGTGATGATAGCCTGCTGTAATGTTAACTGGTCCTGCGTGATGATAGCCTGATGTAATGTTAACTACAGGTCCTCTGTAATGATAGCCTGATGTAATGTTAACTGATCCTATGTAATGATAGCCTGATGTGATGATGGCCTGATGTAATGTTAACTGGTCATACGTGATGTTAGCCTGATGTGATGATAGCCTGATGTGATGATAGCCTGATGTAATGTCTATTGGTGAAATGATGTAATGTTAGCTTGTCCTACGTGATGATAGCCTGATGGTATGTTAACTGGTTCTACGTGATGATAGCCTGATGTTACGTTAACTGGTCCTACGTGATGATAGTGGTCCTACGTGATGATAGCCTGCTGTAATGTTAACTGGTCCTGCGTGATGATAGCCTGATGTTATGTTAACTTGTCCTACGTGATGATAGCCTGATGTTATGGTACCTGGTTCTACGTGATGATAGCCTGATGTTACGTTAACTGGTCCTACGTGATGATATCCTGATGTTATGTTAACTGGTCTTACGTGATGATAGCCTGATGTAAGGTTAACTGGTCCTACGTGATGATATCCTGATGTTATGTTAACTGGTCTTACGTGATGATAGCCTGATGTAATTTTAACTGGTCCTACGTGATGATAGCTTGATGTAATGTTTACTGGTCCTACGTGATGATAGCCTGCTGTAATGTTAACTGGTCCTGCGTGATGATAGCCTGATGTTATGTTAACTTGTCCTACGTGATGATAGCCTGATGGTATGTTAACTGGTTCTACGTGATGATAGCCTGATGTTACGTTAACTGGTCCTACGTGATGATAGCATGCTGGAATGTTAACTGGTACTATGTAATGTTAGCCTGATGTAATGTTAACTGATCCTATGTAATGATAGCCTGATGTGATGATAGCCTGATGTAATGTCTATTGGTGAAATGATGTAATGTTAACTTGTCCTACGTGGTGATAGCCTGATGTAATGTTTACTGGTCCTACGTGATGATAGCCCGATGTAATGTTAACTGGTCCTACGCGATGATAGCCTGATGTAATGTTACCTGGTACTATGTAATGATAGCCTGATGGAATGTTAACTGGTCCTACGTGATGATAGCCTGATGTAATGTTAACTGGTACTATGTAATGATAGCCTGATGTAATGTTAACTGGTCCTACGTGATGATAGCCTGATGTTATGTTAACTGGTCCTACGTGATGATAGCCTGATGTAATGTTAACTGGTCCTACGTGATGATAGCCTGATGTAATGTTAACTACAGGTCCTCTGTAATGATAGCCTGATGTAATGTTAACTGGTCCTACGTGATGATAGCCTGATGTAATGTTAACTGGTCCTACGTGATGATAGCCTGATGTAATGTTAACTGGTCCTACGTGATGATAGCCTGATGTAATGTTGACTGTTCCTACGTGATGATAGCCTGATGTAATGTTAACTGGTCCTATGTAATGATAGTCTGTTATGATGATAGCCTGATGAAATGTTAACTGGTTATGCGTGATCATAGCCTGATGTAATGTTAACTGGTCCTACGTGATGATAGCCTGATGTAATGTTAACTGGTCCTACATGATGATAGCCTGATGTAATGTTAACTGGTTATGCGTGATGATAGCCTGATGTAATGTTAACTGGTCCTACGTGATGATAGCCTGTTGTAATGTTAACTGGTCCTACGTGATGATAGCCTGATGGTATGTTAACTGGTCCTACGTGATGATAGCCTGAGGTAATGTTAGCCTGATGTAATGTTAACTGGTCCTACGTGCTGATAGCCTGATGTTATGTTAACTGGTTCTGCGTAATGATAGCCTGATGTAATGTTAACTGGTCCTATGTAATGATAGTCTGATTTGATGATAGCCTGATGTAATGTTAACTGGTCGTACGTGATGATAGCCTGATGTTATGTTAACGGGTCCTACGTGATGATAGCCTGATGTAATGTTGGCCTGATGTAATGTTAACTGGTCCTACGTGACGATAGCCTGATGTAATGTTAGCCTGATGTAATGTTAACTGGTCCTACGTGATGATAGCCTGATGTTATGTTAACTGGTTCTACGTGATGACTATTTGGACATTTTTGTCAATAGCCAAGATAAAAACATAACATCTATAGGGCTATGTTGATCTGAGTCACTTAATGTAAATGGCTTACATCAAGCTATGGGTTGGAGGAGGGATGGGGATAAAGGAATGCTGAATATAAAATTGGAGACATTGAAATATGTTGATGGTAACTAGAGTTTAGGTGGCAGATTAAGTGGAGATTCTACTGGATATATAAAAACATGTTCTACTGAACTAAATATATCAATTGATGTCTTATGTATTCTCTTGTCATTGTCAAGTCTGATAATGTTTTACATCACTAAATGTTTGATGTGAACTTAAACAATCAACTCCTCCATTATTTTTTTCTCCATAAATACATTTTTGATGATATTAAACTCAATTTTAATTTTTTTTGTAAGGTTGTATTGTGATATTTTAGTTTATGAATAGTCTGACTCATCTAGAAATCAGTTTATGTCAACAGAGTTTCTGAACAACCAGTCCACGGTTTCCAGAAAACAAATATTTGTTTATTAATGTAAACAATGATATTGCATTAGGATCACATGTAGACACCTGCACTGTCCCTGTTAACCATACATAGATACCTTATGGAAAAATCCCAGGCTAGAGGTACGACAGAAAATCATTAAGCAAACATTATATAATGTTTGATAATTGAAACATTTCATATGGAAAATATAATTAGATTAAAGTGTTGTGTTTCCTTAATGTGAAAATAAATAGGGTTGAGACAAATATCTATTGTTATCTACAAATCAATACCAATCATAATGCATTAAATTTCAATACAAATAAATTTCGGTTCATATATTGCTTCACAAAAAAACTCTGGATGAAAATTTCGAACAAAAAACATTTTATGGATAGATTTATTGTGTTGAAGACAGAAGAAAACAAAGGAGGGTTAATATGAGTTAAGTAGAGTCATTGATTAACAAGAAGCAGTTTGTTTGGTTTCTATGGAAACGGTAATAATCATTATCTTAATGGAATGGATCAGAAAGGTTTTTGTGTATGAGCTGATAATTATAAATATATGAATGTTTGTAACTTAATGTAGTGATAAATGTGTGATTGTGTGTAACGTGTAACCTGTATTTGTTTTTATCTAATTGCAGTATGGCGTAGTATTGGTCCTGGTTTTCATGGCACTTATAGTGGGCGGAGTGTTGGCCTTCATGTTCAGAGAAAATGTAAGTATAGACAACTTCAAACCAAGGTGTACTTACTGAAAATTGTCACTGACATCCTTTATGTGTGAATGAGCAATGATTCAGGCGGCCATACCCATTAGCTCGTCAAACATAAAGTGCATAACTGCACTAGGTGATGAGGTCATGATACCTTCTAACTAACCAACATGTGAAAGAATCAGCAGAACAATTTTATATTTGTTGTTTTATAGTTACTTGCATCTTTTTTTCAAAAGAGTTCTTAATATGAGAAACTTGCAAAGTGTTTCTTTTTATGAATGGAAATGTTGACAGTTGACAAGATGCACAAAAATGCATTCATTGATGATGTTGAAATGTAAATCGCTAATTGTGTTTTTTTTTCAAAAGGAGATGACTCTAATATAAAGTTATATAGGTATAATGTGTAAGGTAACATATATCCTTAAATGTGAGGAATTTTGATTTTCTTGTTTCTGGGATTACCTAAAAGGTCTCACCAATTATGTCATTGGTATACATTAACACAGTAGTCTCACTTATATACACTGTTGGTCCTGTCTAAATCTGCTGTTAAACTTTATACAGGATATACACACTAATATTTTAATATCTATAATTTATAATTTAGCTATCAAGAAAATATAAGCAGTTGAAATATATTAATGTTGTAAATACTTCAGATAAAATTGATGTCCAGATTTTGATATGAATGACTTTAATATTTGATTGACTTAATGTTATTGTATATACATGAATAGACAAATTAGGTTTGATATTTGACCTTGACCTTCTGTCACAGTATCCATCATCTGTCTGTCTATTGTCAATTTCTTACATTCCTGTCAAACGTTTTGTGTAGGACTTATTATGGTATGGGGATCATCCATCTGTCCTAATGGAAGTGTCTGCCGTATAACTTTTTTTAGATATTAATTTTGATGAAACAAAAAAAATTGGTAGGCAATACTCCTGAAGAGAAATAGAAGTTTGATGACAGATTGACTTCTAGGAGGGTGTTGGGACAGAAGAGTTACCTCGGTAACAAGTCATTTCATCTGATAACTGCATCTGATCCTGTGGCCACAGGCTATTTGTTCCTCAGAGATACAAAGCACTTTTATAAACATGATGAGGAAGTCAAACCTCAATACGACAGGTACTGTGTTCCTAGTCAAACCTCAAAACGACAGGTACTGTGTTCCTAGTCAAACCTCAACACAACAGGTACTGTGTTCCTAGTCAAACCTAAAAAAAACAGGTACTGTGTTCCTAGTCAAACCTCAATACGACAGGTACTGTGTTCCTAACTTAATTGACTGGAATACTAATGGCTGCATTACTGGGACACTGATTGATTAGAGAAAGGGAAATCCGCCCCATGAATACTGGAGGGTGGAACAACCAGGTGACGGGTTAGGTTTGATTAGAGAAAGGGAAATCCGACCCGTGAACACTGGAGGGTGGGACAACCAGGTGAGGGGTTAGGTTTGATTAGAGAAAGGGAAATATGCCCCTTGAATACTGGAGGGTGGAACAACCAGGTGATGGGTTAGGTTTGATTAGAGAAAGGGAAATCCGCCCCGTGAACACAGGATGGTGGGACAACCAGATGAGGGGTTAGGTTTGATTAGACGAAGGGAAATCCGTCCAATGAACACTGGAGGATGGGACAACCAGGTGAGGGGTTACTGGATGATAGCAAAGCACGATTGTTATGGCTTTGATTAAGTGTTAGGAATTACTTCAATTGTCTGCAAATCACTTCTGATCTAATGCTCTGTTCCAGTGAGTTAAGATTGCTTCTGATCTAATGCTCTGTTCCATTAAATTAAGATTGCTTCTGATCTAATCCTCTGTTCCAGTGAGTTAAGATTGCATCTGATCTACTGCTCTGTTCCAGTGAATTAAGATTGTTTCTGATCTAACGCTCTGTTCCAGTGAATTAAGATTGGTTCTGATCTAATGCCCTGTTCCAGTGAATTAAGATTGCGTCTGATCTAATGCTCTGTTCCAGTGAGTTAAGATTGCCTCTGATCTAATGCTCTGTTCCAGTGAATTAAGATTGCCTCTGATCTAATGCCCTGTTCCAGTGAGTTAAGATTGCCTCTGATCTAATGCTCTTTTCCAGTGAATTAAGATTGTTTCTGATCTAATGCTCTGTTCCAGTGAATTAAGATTGCTTCTGATCTAATGCTCTGTTCCAGTGAGTTAAGATTGCCTCTGATCTACTGCTCTGTTCCAGTGAATTAAGATTGCCTCTGATCTAATGCTCTGTTCCAGTGAGTTAAGATTGCTTCTGATCTAATGCTCTGTTCCAGTGAAATAAGATTGGTTCTGATCAAATGCTCTGTTCCAGTGAATTAAGATTGGTTCTGATCCAATGCTCTGTTCCAGTGAATTATGATTGCTTCTGATCTAATTCTCTGTTCCAGTGAGTTAAGATTGCCTTTGATCTAATGCTCTGTTCAGTGAATTAAGATTGGTTCTGATCAAATGCTCTGTTCCAGTGAGTTAAGATTGCCTCTGATCTAATGCTCTGTTCCAATGAATTAAGATTGGTTCTGATCTAATGCTCTGTTCCAGTGAGTTAAGATTGCTTCTGATCCAATGCTCTGTTCCAGTGAGTTTAGATTGCCTCTGATCTAATGCTCTGTTCCTGTGAATTAAGATTGTTTCTGATCTAATGCTCTGTTACAGTGAGTTAAGATTGCCTCTGATCTACTGCTCTGTTCCAGTGAATTAAGTTTGCCTCTGATCTAATGCTCTGTTCCTGTGCATTAAGATTGCTTCTGATCTAATCCTCTGTTCCAGTGAGTTAAGATTGCCTCTGATCTAATGCTCTGTTCCAGTTGATCTAATGCTCTGTTCCAGTTAATTAAGATTGCCTCTGATCTAATGCTCTGTTCCAGTGAGTTAAGATTGCCTCTGATCTAATGCTCTGTTCCTGTGAATTAAGATTGCTTCTGATCTAATGCTCTGTTCCAGTTGATCTAATGCTCTGTTCCAGTGAGTTAAGATTGCCTCTGATCTAATGCTCTGTTCCAGTGAATTAAGATTGCTTCTGATCTAATGCTCTGTTCCAGTGAATTAAGATTGCTTCTGATCTAATGCTCTGTTCCAGTGAATTAAGATTGCTTCTGATCTAATGCTCTGTTCCAGTGAATTAAGATTGCTTCTGATCTAATGCTCTGTTCCAGTGAATTAAGATTGCTTCTGATCTAATGCTCTGTTCCAGTGAATTAAGATTGCTTCTGATCTAATGCTCTGTTCCAGTGAATTAAGATTGCTTCTGATCTAATGCTCTGTTCCAGTGAATTAAGATTGCTTCTGATCTAATGCTCTGTTCCAGTGAATTAAGATTGCTTCTGATCTAATGCTCTGTTCCAGTGAATTAAGATTGGTTCTGATCTAATGCTCTGTTCCAGTGAATTAAGATTGCTTCTGATCTAATGCTCTGTTCCAGTGAATTAAGATTGCCTCTGATCTAATGCTCTGTTCCAGTGAATTAAGATTGCTTCTGATCTAATGCTCTGTTCCAGTGAATTAAGATTGCCTCTGATCTAATGCTCTGTTCCAGTGAATTAAGATTGCCTCTGATCTAATGCTCTGTTCCAGTGAATTAAGATTGCCTCTGATCTAATGCTCTGTTCCAGTGAATTAAGATTGCCTCTGATCTAATGCTCTGTTCCAGTGAATTAAGATTGCCTCTGATCTAATGCTCTGTTCCAGTGAATTAAGATTGCCTCTGATCTAATGCTCTGTTCCAGTGAGTTAAGATTGCCTCTGATCTAATGCTCTGTTCCAGTGAATTAAGATTGCCTCTGATCTAATGCTCTGTTCCAGTGAATTAAGATTGCCTCTGATCTAATGCTCTGTTCCAGTGAGTTAAGATTGGTTCTGATCTAATGCTCTGTTCCAGTGAATTAAGATTGCCTCTGATCTAATGCTCTGTTCCAGTGAATTAAGATTGCTTCTGATCTACTGCTCTGTTCCAGTAAATTAAGATTGCTTCTGATCTAATGCTCTGTTCCAGTGAGTTAAGATTGGTTCTGATCTACTGCTCTGTTCCAGTGAATTGAGATTGCTTCTGATCTAATGCTCTGTTCCAGTGAATTAAGATTGTTTCTGATATAATGCTCTGTTCCAGTGAATTAAGATCACTAATTTTCAACTTACAGTGTATGAATATAAAAAAAAGGTACGTTTTTTTGTAAATGCATAAAGTGCAATGGAGGAATTAAATTCTGATAGTAATTAACGAAATATCTTATCTTTTAAAGAAATGTATTAACAATATCTTGATTTGTTTTCCAGATGACAAGTGATTTTAAAGAAAAGCTGGTGGTTACGATAGAAAAACAGTATGGTTTTGAAGTACGGACAAACACCCACAACAGACTGGTCACTGACGCCTGGGATTCCATACAGAGAAAAGTACGTCCAGTATATAATCAGCTGGCATTGAGCTTTTACCTCATACTATAAACATATATCTGTGAATTGTGTAAGAGTTATCTCCCTGATCAATCTAATTATTTTATCATCCTTAAGTGCATATTTTTACACAATTGTGTCATTCCACATATTTAATCCAGCTTAAGTTTCCATGTAAAGAAACCTGAGTACATGGCTTGTAAAGGATGAAATGTTTTCGAAATCAAACTGGCTCCAAAAATTCCTTCGTGTATATTTGTAGACAAGACATTGAATACCACCATGTACTTAAAGATATATATTGTAGTTGACTCGAGGATTTATATACGAAAGATAATTTTGTCTGATAGTGGTTTAATGTCCTCGCAACAGCCAGGGTCATATGAGGACGGGACTGCAGATAATACACTACATTTAATACCATACTCGCATTGCAACATTTAACTAACACATTTTTGTTTTCCATTTCAGTTAAAGTGCTGTGGGGCCTATGGCAATATCAGCAGTGACTTTTCCTGGGCGATATACAAGCAACATAGCGATTGGTGGGCTAGGAGGCCGTCACGTGACAGTACGTATACCGCACCAAATCTCCGCATAAGTCTCCAACTGTCTCTAACAGTACATATAAATCTACAATTAATTACCCATAGAAGAAGTTCAGGTGTTGTTTTAATGGTACTTTAGTGGCTGACATTTAAGGTTTGGAAGTTCTCCGTCAAAAATGGAGTCTGTGGCCAAAAATAAGACCATTCCAGAACGTAATGGCTTTCAGTTTTATGCTGAGGAAAGGCTGTAAGCTGATGTTGAACTTTGAGTGTGCAGACCTTACATCCCTTTATTATGTCATTAACCCCTCTGTGTGCTGTAGATTGAGTAAGGCAGGTTTAACTAGTCAGTGTCAGCCAAATTCAGGTACCCCGTATCTGAACAGTGCAGTTAAATTGCGATTCAAGCATCCAGATGATCAGGACAAAGAAATGGGTTATTGTAGCTGCTGCACATGCAGCCTCCGTTGTAGAGGGGGGAAATGGAGAGAAAGACGGGATGTTTAAGAATAGTTGTGACTATAACGTTTTGAACAACCTGGAACCCTAGAGAGAAATTTGGCCGAGAGCACTCTTCATGGACTATTAGCGAGTGCTGTTTGTGAGGCAGTGAGTTTTAAACGATACACAGAACACAGTGCGGCTGTATTCCTTGTGTTATTACTGAGAGAGGCTTTGATGGTTTGACTGGGAATCGGTACAATAACCCCCTTACACACGTTTAGTTTGTCCTATCTGTTCCACTGTATAAAGGTTAATTGTGGGTATACTCTTTATCACATTATAGGATAATACACAATGTACATATACATTAAAGGTCTTTATACAGGTTATATATAGAGGATAGGGTTGTCTTTATACAGGGTTTATAGAGGATAGGGTTGTCTTTATACAGTATTTATAGAGGATAGAGTCGACAGCTTTCTTTTGATGATGGTGTGTTTAGAATCGTGTCAAAAAGAGAAATTTTGAGAATGGAAAGAATAGGCTGAGGTAGCGTGGATATCGTACATTTTTATTACTTTCTCATCAGATATGGATTATCTTGGGCTTTGTATATTGATTGTAGTGTCTACAGGAAAGTTTTAAAGTACAGGGTTAAAGGAACAGTGTCAAAAAGGGAATTTCCAGAAAAGGGCATTTTTATAGAACGTTTTGAAGGTCAGTTCTTACAATGTGTACATTTGCCTCTCTGAAGGTTATGGTACGGTAGGTGGGTAACTAAGTGGGGATGTGTGCAAGGAGTTTGAGGAATGAAATTCCCTGAATTTAGATTGAAATCAGGGAGATGTTTTTGTCTGCCATATTTCCATGTTAAACTAAGAGTTTACATGGTGTGGCAAAATCACAAAAATACCAGGAACTTGTTTATTTTGTACTTAGTCTTAGTATATATAGAGCTTTTCCCCCAAACACATCCCTGAATCTGTAACAGGTTTGTAACAAGGGATGGTTTTTGCCACTGGTTAATATAGTAGTGTTTTGTTTTACTTACTGTAGTTGGCTTAGATTGAACAGTTTACTTATTTACTGGCTTTGGGTCTAATGACATGTATGTTACTATGTTATAATTTCAAATATATTTTTTTAGTAAATTATTTAGTATTTGTTTAAAACTATATGTAAGAGTTAATATCATATTCCTGATATCTTTTCTTTTCACTTAAAAGCAAGGCAGGTAGATACCTTATTATAAGGAAACCCTTTTTAAATTAATTATCTCTTATTTAATTTTATTTATGATAGATCAGCTGGGTCAAAACCTGGGCTTTGCTGAAATTCTGACTCTAAAAATTTACATCTGATACAGAATTTCCATATTCCTCCTACCTACATGATAACCGACTCTTCTTCGTCCACCTCTTATCCAGAAGTTACATACACAATGCATTTTGGTAAAACCTCCAGAAAACTATACAGAATGTCACCTGTCAGAATGGCAATCTGTATAATCTAGAAACCTGTATCAGGTAGAGCCTCAACAATGTCCTGCTGTAAACATTACTATGTATATTGACCTTGTCTAATCTGGAAACCTGTATGATAAAACAGACACTAAGAGTGGTCGGGTGGCGCAGTGGATAGCGCCCTTGCCTTTCATCAATGCGACATGGGTTTGATCACCAAATCGGACGTGAAAGGTTTGGGGTCACCTGCCCGACCACGGCGTTTTTCTACGGGTACTCTGTTTTCCTCCCACACTAAGTCCCAAAGTAATTTGGACCTGCATCAAAAACCTGTATAAACTGTATGTTCAACTAGGTTTGTAAATTGAACCTATGTTATCAAAAACCTGTATAAACTGTATGTTCAACTAGGTCCCTTGACTGGATACATTTGTTTGTCATTTGGACCTGTATCAGAAACCTGTATAAACTGTATATCCAACTAGGTTTGTAAATTGAACCTATTTTATCAAAAACCTATCTAATCTGACTTAAAATATTTGTCACTTTGATGTTGAGTTAAGACAGGTTTCACTATATATATGAGGCATTTTTTGAGGGGCAACTTCCCAAAACTGTGTTGTACATTTCTTGTTATTTTCCTGTGCTCCTTTAAGACGGGATACCCTATTTTCAAAATAGTAAGTACCCTGTTACATACTGTAGACTGTCACATCCCATAATATTGCATGCGACCATGGCTAATTACCTTACGCACTCGTGGTAGAGTTATCGATTATCTTCAATTTATTCAAAATTATGAAATGATCAGAAATAACAGAAATATTAAAGTTTAAATACAAAAATTGGTATTCTTGATCCAGACTAACTTGTAATCAAATTTCAATATAGACATTTGTATCTTCAATTATTACAATAGAGGTGGGTTTTTTAATAAGAATTATATCATTGTTTTAAACTTTTTTGGAAATTTGTAGAATTAAGGTACAGTGATGCTGTCAAATTAAACAGGGTTTTCCAACATTTTACTAATTCTATTCCAAGGTATAGGGAAGGGGTTGCGAATTTTGCATTAGATTCAGACTTAGAGGAAAAATACATGATGCAAGTTGTATTCATGAAAGTGCCATTGTATGTGCGCATGTGTGTTAGTTCGTGGAAAGAGTGGTGTCTAGATATTGTCAACAAACACATGTCTAACATTCCTATGTGATATTGACAGCTGTTTGACGTACATTTATATAACAAATAGTGTACAAGTATTTTGTAGAATTCAGGGCACATTTTATTAATATTACCTTTCTCTTGGCACAGAATTTCTCTGTTTAACATTTTTTATGAAACTACTTATATTTTTCGTAATAAATACGATTTTTGCTTTATATTAAGGACAATAAATTCTGAGTGTTTGTTAATTGACTTTTTTTTAAAACCTTGTAGCATTTGTTGCACTTAATCGATGTGGAAAGCATGTCTAAATTCCTTCTTCTAACTAGAAATGTGCACAAAATAACTTCTTTCTCCATAAACCTAGCTATTTTTCTCGATAAACCTAGCTGTTTTATCATTAACTAGAATAAAACTGTTGAAAATATTAATTGCACAACATAACTGAATGAGACTGAAAAGTTCTTTCACTGGCATCCCAGACTTTTTAAGGTCCTACATTTCGTTGTCATTGAAATGATAAGTTGTATAATCAGCATATGTGGCCTGCTCCTTTAACCACAAGTTTGTCAGCATCGTACAGAAATGGCAACTACTGCATGCTGGGAGTGACACCCCTGACGTGCATGTAGCATGTGCAGTGTAACCTGACTTTACCGACACCAGAATTTACTGACAACCTTTAATATGAGACATCCTTTTAGTGCCAAGACAACTGGTTGCTATAGTTAAATCCTGGTTTTACCGACTTACTGTCATTTTGCCAGCACTGATTCATCCTTTTTTGATGACTGTGAAGTCAGGTTTCAGTGTTTACTGAAACAGATTTTTTTTTTTCTCAAAATATTAAGCACATTGTTTTACAAGAATTAAATATAAAATAATTTCCATACCTGCCAAGTTCTCAATAATGTGATGAGTGTCATAGCTGATTAAAATGCCGGTCAAGCCTGCTTATTGCAGGTCATTTAGTATGTTAACTTGTAAAAGTTACAAAAATCATTTATTTAAGTTATTAAAATTGCCTTTAGATAATTTGTATTTTTTCTACAAAGTTATTATTATTCAAAACTTGAAAAAAGTGCTTTTTAAACATTTTTTATGTTGGAATATGCAGTGCAAATGCAGAAGATTCCAAAAAACCTTAGCAGGTATGCCTGTAACACCTTCTGTCATTGTCAAGTCCAGGATAATTGTGGAATAGTGTCAGTGTGTGATATAATGGGATGTTGATTGAGTTGTCCATATTTTTCATGTTTGGGTGGGGTCGAGACACAGTTCGATCCCTTCAAACCCCCTAGAGCTATCAGATCAGTTGTAAATGTATGAATTTCTTTGCTTGTTTATCATCATTTTGCTTAGAATTGGTAAAATGGTAAACTATCGGTGATGTTTCTTAGTAAATGTAAGTTGTCGGTGGATAAGTTTTAATCTATATTTGATACCTCAGTCATTTACACTGGGGAGGTAATCCTTACTGTTGGTAGAGAAAAGGTAATAACTTTCATCATTGGTTATCTGAGGTCCGCATTTCTCTCTGTGCCAGGCTTTCACAGAGGATACCTGGATAGGCATGGATGCCTATAAATTGTAATTAATTATATTGAGGCTGGGAAATTCATAATAAACCTTAAACCTTATCAATTAACTTTTTAAAGTTTAAGAGAAATCAAGATATGAAATAAATCGAAAGATAAAATTACAATATTTGAGTGTTCAAATTTTAAAAGATGGAAAGTAAATTGTACATGAATTTCAAAACTTGACAATACTGTGAGTTGCACTGTAGTGTATGTCAAAAGTGTAACATTTCATTTTTTACTTGCAGAATACCCCATGGTACCGGACAGTTGTTGTGTACCAGACATGGACAAGGAGAAATGTCAGGGGCGTGTCTTTATAGAGGGCCCACCGAATAAAGGGCCACCCTTCAAGGGAAGTCATACAGAAAATCCACATATATATACTGTGGTAAGTTAAAATACAAAAGAAGAGTTAAAATAATCCACATTTATATACTGTGGTAAGTTATAATACAAAAAAAGAGTTAAAATAATCCACATTTATATACTTTGGTAAGTTATAACACCGAAGTCCTGTTAAAATAATCCACAATTATATACTGTGGTAAGTTATAATACAAAAGTCCTGTTAAAATAATTCACATTTATATACTGTGGTAAGTTATAATACAAAAAAAAAGTTAAAATAATCCACATTTATATACTGTGGTAAGTTATAATACCAAAGTTCTGTTAAAATAATCCACATTCATATACTGTGGTAAGCTATAATACAAAAGTCCTGTTAAAATAATCCACATTAATTTACTGTGGTAAGTTATAATACAAAAGACCTGTTAAAATAATCCACATTTATATACTGTGGTAAGTTATAATACAAAAGTCCTGTTAAAATAATCCACATTAATTTACTGTGGTAAGTTATAATACAAAAGAAGAGTTAAAAAGATCCACATTTATATACTGTGGTCAGTTATAATACAAAAGTCCTGTTAAAATAATTCACATTTATATACTGTTGTAAGTTATAATACAAAAGTCCTGTTAAAATACTTCACATTTATATACTGTGGTAAGTTATAATACAAAAGGAGAGTTAAAATTATCCACATTTATATACTGTGGTAAGTTATAATACCAAAGTTCTGTTAAAATAATCCACATTCATATACTGTGGTAAGTTATAATACAAAAGGAGAGTTAAAATAATCCACATTTATATACTGTGGTCAGTTATAATACAAAAGTCCTGTTAAAATACTTCACATTTATATACTGTGGTAAGTTATAATACTAAAGTCCTGTTAAAATAATCCACATTAATATACTGTGGTAAGTTATAATACAAAAGAAGAGTTAAATTAATTCACATTAATATACTGTGGTAAGTTATAATACAAAAGTCCTGTTAAAATAATCCACAATTATATACTGTGGTAAGTTATAATACAAAAGAAGAGTTAAATTAATCCACATTAATATACTGTGGTAAGTTATAATACAAAAGGAGAGTTAAAATTATCCACATTTATATACTGTGGTAAGTTATAATACCAAAGTCCTGTTAAAATGATCCACATTTATATACTGTGGTAAGTTATAATACCAACGTTCTGTTAAAATAATCCACATTTATATACTGTGGTAAGTTATAATACCAAACTCCTGTTAAAATAATCCACATTTATATACTGTGGTCAGTTATAATACCAACGTTCTGTTAAAATAATCCACATTTATATACTGTGGGAAGTTATAATACCAAACTCCTGTTAAAATAATCCACATTTATATACTGTGGGAAGTTATAATACCAAACTCCTGTTAAAATAATCCACATTTATATACTGTGGTAAGTTATAATACCAAAGTCCTGTTAAAATAATCCACATTAATATACTGTGGTAAGTTATAATAAAAAAAGAAGAGTTAAAAAGATCCACATTTATATACTGTGGTAAGTTATAATACAAAAGAAGAGTTAACATAATCCACATTTATATACTGTGGTAAGTTATAATACAAAAGAAGAGTTAAAATTATCCACATTATATACTGTGGTAAGTTATAATACCAAAGTTCTGTTAAAATAATCCACATGTATATACTGTGGTAAGTTATAATACCAACGTTCTGTTAAAATAATCCACATTTATATACTGTTGTAAGTTATAATACCAAAGTCCTGTTAAAATAATCCACCTTATTATCCTGTGGTAAGTTATAATACAAAAGAAGAGTTAAAATTATCCACATTATATACTGTGGTAAGTTATAATACGAAAGAAGAGTTAAAATTATCCACATTATATACGGTGGTAAGTTATAATACCAAAGTTCTGTTAAAATATTCCACATTTATATACTGTGGTAAGTTATAATACCAAAGTCCTGTTAAAATAATCCACATTTATATATAATGGTAAGTTATAATACAAAAGAAGCGTTAAAATAATCCAGATTTATATACTGTGGTAAGTTATGATACAAAAGAAGAGTTAAAATAATCCACATTTATATACTGTGGTAAGTTATAATACCAAAATCCTGTTAAAATAATCCACATTTATATACTGTGGTAAGTTATAATACAAAAGACCTTTGTACAAAATATTCCTCATGATATGGCCCTTAGTGATTTTTAGGTTAACAGATAAGAGTTCAAGGTGAACATATTACGGTTCATATCCCTCCATATCTACTTCAGCCATTGAGATTGCTTAATCTGTCAAATTAATGAAATTTTCCTGATAAAAGATCATAGAAATTTAGTTGATAATCATTATTGGTCAGCCAAAAACGACCAATAACTGACCCATTTGTTTCAAATTAACACAAGTTGATTAAAGGGCAAAGGTCATGGTAAATGTATTACATCAACAATACAACATATTTTTGACAAATCATATCGGGTCAAACAAATTAATTCACAATAGGCCTACTTTGTTCCGTAGCATGTTGTTACAATGCACTATGACAGTTCGTCACACAGGACACAAAGATATCTCACTTCACTATAGGCAAGGTTTTGATATATATATGTTAAAGGAAGACTGCTGTACTGTATTTTATAAGCTGGAGAAATAGCACTATGGTTTTGTGTCAAAATCAATTAAATGCAATATGAAAATGTTGCCATATTCAATTTTATATAAAATGTTGCAAGTTGAATTGGAATCTTCAAACTTATATAGCAAAATAAAGGAATGGAATGTAAAGATTCCTTTTATGTTCACGAATACATTATAACTACCGCTGTGACATAGCCACTAACACAGTTGTATTGTTAAAACAAAACTCAGGGTTTCTAGCTCTGCAACATAAAGTGATCAATTTTAGATACAGCATTACAAAAGACGCTAACATCTACAATCAAAGCAAGTTGTTTTTATTATCGATGTTCCCTTTGTTGACTAATGTGTACTAAAACTGAACACAATACGCCCAACGGATCTGCCGACGGAAATAAAGTAGCTCATGATATCTTCACAGGCTCTATCAGTCATCGGAGAGCCATAGTTTCTGCGGCCCACCATTCCCAAAGTGCCCCCTTGTAATGAACATTGCCAGCCAATCAATAGCCTGCCAATCCAGATCCTGAAAACTCCAGTTCTAAGAGTTATAAATCTGCTCGCTAGCAAAATTGAAATTCAATATTATTTGATGTGATGAAAATGAGAGACTTGCTGGTTGTCTCGCATCATCCTATCATCAAAGTCATGGAGTGTGAAAAAACATATACTTCAGGGAATTTTATATGAAGCTTGATTAGATTTTTGCTGATTTTCTCAGGTAATATGATTGGTGAGCAAACCTGCGTGATCACCTTCTCCATTTCCAGACGTCATTATATACCGGTCAATTTTTCAAGCCTTGGGCACTGTCAATTATTGGATACGTTACTGGGTATGCTTAGGTTTTCTACATTGAAAATTAATAATGTATAGGTTCATATGTGGAACCTTATCTGTGATGTAGCAGGAAAGGGGTATTAGACTGTATGATGTAGGAAAATTAAAGAGAAAATTCTATAAAAGGATTTTTTTTAAACCAGGAAAAATAAATACCTTAAAGGTTAAACAAAAATTTAATTTACTTTTCTGTGGATTTATGTGTTTTGCTGACGATGTGTTTTTCAAAATATATAAATATAGATATACATGTGAGACCTTGACCTGTCGGTCTTTATGGGTTTATGGTACCTTACTGTGATATGGTATATCTCTTTTACAAAAAACTTCAATACTTAGAAAAAAACACAAAAATCTTCTCTGAATGATGATTAAGGCTTTGTTCATTGTATGATACTGCATATAAAAGGTTGTAGATGGTAAAACAACTCTAATATTTCAAAACTGTAAGATCGATAATGCTCATTTAAGTATTTTAAAGGGAAATAACTCAAATCACTGATGTAATTTGTTAGGTAGCATTTCAGTCTTTAATATCTGCAATATACTAGTGCTGGATGGTCATAATGTTTGAAGCTTTGAAAAGATTTTGAGCCCAGACTAACTGGTGTAAGCGCAGATTTAGTTCTAGCATCAGAGGTATCATGTGTTTGACTATGTAGATAGGTTCAGAAATGTTTTTTGTCTTTTACATAATTATGCCTTTTGTCTCGCATTCGGCCAAACGCAATCCAGCCTATGTTTTTTATAACATTATGTAGTGTGATTTCACAAGCTGAGGCTTACAATTTATACTTGAGAATTTACTCTTCCTACAGGAATCCTAAGCAATCATTACTCATTAGATAATCTCTGTTAGAGGTTTATTCCTCCCGGTTCCAGAGTCCTGGAGTAAAAACCCGCTCCAAGGAATACACTGGAGTGTTGAAACACTGTAAATACTCCAGACCTCCCAGTCTGCTGTAGTTTGGGAAGGAAGTGCATTGTCTTGGCAAATGTTTTCCAGACTACAAATGAAGAGTTATTATTGTACAGAACAAATTTTAAGAGATTTATATTTGATTTACTCCATAATTATTTGTGTTGGGCGAAACAAAAAAGTCTAGGGCTGAATCATGACATATTACATTGTCTAAATGAACACATATATTTAATATAGGAAATTGAAAAGAAAATTTCCAGATAATCTTGAATTTTAGAACATGTACATGTAATATTAAGGTATGTATATACAAAAACAAACTACAGATGAGATAATAGATACACCTGCAGGTAGAAAACTGGTTTCATGTTAACTTTTCTATTTTGTATTCCAACTTCCAGCAAAATTGTAAGATTTCAAGATTTGATAAACGTTCTTTTCTGTTCTATAAATATTAGCAAAATTGGAAAATTTAACGGGCCTTTGATGTTCATTCAAATATAATTCCTGTTTCTTCCGAACACAACTTATGATGACTCACAAAATAATTCCTTGATTTTAAACATGCATTTTAGTTTGAAAAATAGATCACATATAATAATAGTTGAACAAAAGGAAATATGTTGCCACATTCATCTTTAACTTGTATAATTATAAGATTATAAGTAATTGTAAGGAGCCCATAAGTATTTTAAAAACTTAAAAAGAATATGTAAACAAATGATGGTAGGTTCTTGTGATTAGCCTGTTTAGTTTGGAATGCCAAGTCAGTTATCATATACCAGGATCGGCAGAGGTCATCACAATCCTTAGGAATCAGAAAGATCACTCTCTCATGCCTAAAATATGCCCATGCTGATTATCAATGCGTCCTTTTTAACTCATACATATTCTATAGATTTGGGTGATTTCTGATATAAAAACTTTTTGCAGAGAAGGTCCATTGTGGGAGCAACCTAGTTGTCCTTCTCTGCAAGATCTTATTTCAGAAAAATGAGTACTTGGTTACCAGGTACTCACTTTGAACATCCATTGAGAACAAGGACTTCTATCTATAGGAGGCCTACCACATATATAATAGTAAAGATGATATTATGTCATTTAGTATATACATTGTACTGTAATATTAATGGGTTAAAATATTTTAATTTTAATCATTATCTTAAAATAATATTATTGTAATACTTTTGATTTTAAGGATTACAGAATATTTAGGATATTGTAAACATACTTATTTCAGAGCACTAAAATTTTAATGCAATATCAAATTTTAACAGATTGATGCATTGATGAATTGGTGCACCAACAAAATATGCAATATAAAACAATATACAGGAACTCAGTTGGCACATTCATAATTTAAACCACTATTTACCCTGCGAAAAGTGCTAAAATAATATTACTATTACCATATGCTGTATAACAAAAGCTTGACTGTACACCCAACCATGAATTCTAATTGGTCATACGATGAAGTAAGAACACGCGTTTCCTAAGGATTGACACCCCAGACGTTCTGTATTTTCCAGGGCTGCTACGATAAAGTCATAGACTACATGATGCAGCACTCGTTAATACTGGGAGCCGTAGCGTTCGCTGTACCTATATTCCTGGTAGGTATCGGAAACTGTCATAGAGTTTTATAGTGTAGAATGACCGCTTATTATTGATAACGTAATGTTAGTAAACAAGAAAGTCTACTGCACGATTTTGTTGTGTCAGACTAAATATATAAGATTCTGAATACTATGTTATAGTTGTACAAGTTTGTCATGTTTTGCCTTAAAGAAGACATTTTCAATGATTATATGTTGTTTTATTGAGCTTTAAAAAAATACGAAACGACTATTGATGTTAGAAATCATCGATATATCAATGTTTTGTGGAGACAAGTCATCAAGTAAAACAACTACTTTTTAGCTCACCTGGCCCGAAGGGCCAAGTGAGCTTATCCCATGGTGCAGCGTCCGTCGTCCGGCGTCCGTCAACTTTTTCCTTTAAAATGCTACTTGTCCTATGAATGGCTCAGAGGATTTTGACCAAATTTGGTCAGGAGCATCATTGGCTAAAGGGTTCTCAGTTTTGTATAAACGGAGGGTATAACCCCCCTGGGGGCAGAGGGGCGGGGCCAAATAGGGGGAAAATAGGTAAATCTTTAAAAATCTTCTTCTTCTCAACCAATAGAAGGATTTTGACCAAATTTGTCCTAGAGCATCTTTGGACAAAGGAGACTCAAGTTTGTATAAACGGAGGGTGTGGCCTCTTTGGGGGCAGAGGGGCGGGGCCAAATAGGGGAAGTAGAGGATTTTTTCTCTCCTACTATACAAGTGAAGGGATTTAAACCAAATGCAGTCTGAAGCTTGGTCAGGAGCATCATTGGCCAAAGGGTTCTCAGTTTTGTATGAACGGAGGGTATGGTCCCCCTGGGGGCAGAGGGACGGGGCCAAATAGGGGAAAATAGGTAAATCTTTAAAAATCTTCTCCTCAACCAATTGAAGGATTTTGACCAAATTTGTCCTAGAGCATCTTTGGACAAAGGAGACTCAAGTTTGTATAAACGGAGGGTGTGGGCCTTCTGGCGGCATAGGAGCGGGGCCCAATAGGGGAAATAGAGGATTTTTTTTCTCCTACTATACAAGTGAAGGGATTTAAACCAAATGCAGTCTGAAGCATGCTTAGGGAGAAAAGAATCAATTTTGTTTAAACTGAGGTGTGTGGATTCCCCTTCTTTGGGGCAGATTAGTGGGGCCCATTAGGGGAAATAGAGGAAAACATTAAAGATCCTTCTCCTTCTGTACCGTTGAAGGGATTTTAACCTAACCAAACTTGTTTTAGAGAATCTTTGGGCAAAGGGAATTGAATATTTATAAATGGAAGATGCAACTTTGTTACTTGTACTCCTTTGATAAACCTGAATGGTACTCAGCAGGTTTTAAATTGAAAAATAAAATACCAGGTGAGCTATTAAGGCCCCTGGGCCTCTTGTTCTATAATGCAATTGTCATTAAAGTGATCTGATTTAATTATTTTAATGAAATATTGATTATTTTTACAGATTGTTGGTACTATAATAGCATTCTGTTTGTGTGCGAGAGTGAAGAAGGGAGATGAAGATGAAGAGGATATATAAAACTGCTGTAGATGACACCCGTTTTAGTTTGGCTCACTTGCCTTCCGTCCATAGGCACAAATGGCATATCGACATCACGGCAATTTGGACACACACTGATTGGTCCTTTGCTCCAACAATGCGGTCATGTGCCGACAACTTGTCACAATAATGTAGACACAAATTGGCATATTGGTCAAACAATGTGATTATGTGCTTGCAAGTCATCAACAGCAATGTGGACTCAAATTGGCACATTGCTCCAACAAATTGGTCATGTGCTGGCAAGTTGTCCCAACAATGTGTATACAGATAGGCACATTGCTCGGGTCATGACATTCTATGCTGGCAACTTGCTACAGTAATGTAGACAATGGTTACACTGACAATGAGTCGACCGACTTGCCTACTGTCAACCCATCTACCTGTGACAGAAGTTCAGCGGTACTAGACCATTTGTGCACACCACTTTTCCGTTATTACTGCTGAAGCCGGTGTATGTAGTAGTGCTATCATTATATGGGAAAGTGGCACCAGATGTTTAAGCTCTGTACCATATCACTAGGACATTTACATTTCTTTTCTAATGGATTAAGCAAATGCTACCGTAGTAAGACATTCCTCATTGTCACAGAATTAAAGTGGTAGCTTTAGTACTTACCTGTGATTTTGGACCAGCATTATGTTGTTTTGTGTGAAATATAAAAGAGATAATTCATTGCTGACCCAACACACGCTCATATCAATGATTCCAAGGGAGACAAGGCTGGAGACAATCGGTGATATCACAGTTCGTTAATTACCAAGCGTTAGAATATCGGTGATATCACAGCTCGTTAATTACCAAGCGTTAGAATATCGGTGATATCACAGTTCGTTAATTACCAAGCGTTAGAATATCGGTGATATCACAGTTCGTTAATTACCAAGCGTTAGAATGATACTTGAGTTTGTGGACTTGTCTATGGAAAATATTCCATGGAAATGACAATGCAGTATGGATATATGGGGACCTACACTGGGACAGATATATCGGTGAAACTGTTGAGCAATACTGTGGCAGATGTGATACCATTGCAGCTGATACCCTCTTGTTTAGTTATCCGTAACCATTATATTACAAATCTTTGCCTATAAGAAGGCTTACCTTCTTGCATTTTCTGGAGATGCTCATTGAAGATGAGACTGAGGTCGCCTTGTGGACGGGACACTGGATGGACTATAACGTAAAAAAGGGAATATAAACACACATCATTTCTCTAAAGATGTTTGTGAAGCACGATTATCTTTTACCAATTGTTAATAAAAAAGATACCACAAAAATGGTTCCCTAGCAACACATGTGTCACAACCTTAGAAACAAGAACAGTGCCTTGTCACAAAGCGGGATAACACAGTTTGCTGACATGTGAAATTAAATGGCTGTTAACGCTGGGATCACTGAAGACTTCACCACAAAGGATCAACAACAGAATTATATTGCTTTGTTGGAAATATAAACCGTTTACACCAGCTCCTATTGGATTGAACCGAAAGGAAATCCTTCATCAAAAGGATGACGAGTACAGGAACAAGGCTGTACCAGATGGAGTTAACGTCATTAGATGGTTTAGTGAAGGTTTCGGGGAGTACATGTGCTGGAAGAAAACCCCATCGAACGCTGCTATGTCCCTTGTTGTCTAGACAACAAGTAGTCCACATTTGATCTGGTTTCATGGAAAGTTATAATCAAGTTTACCAGAAAGCCCAGTTTGCTTCTAAGTTCATATGCAAAGATATACCGAATATAATTGAATATGACAGGAGTCAGTCAATGAAGTGCATGTGAACGATCGCCAACGTGTAACTTTTTTATTTGGATAAAAACACCAAATAGTGCACGGACCTCTGTCTAATGTCACTTTCATGTTGAGAAGTGATCGAGGTCAAGGACTTATCGGGAAGTTTTTAAGTGCAGTGAACACACCCTATATTTGGATATAGACTTGTGTGTGGATAAAGCAGATTCCTTTGGTCGAACGCAGTGACCACCACGTGTCGTATCATTCCATTTCGTCTTTAAGAGGCTATTCCTTTAATGGTCAGCCAGTTGTGTTACATTCCAGGAAATATATATATAAAGTAATATATATAGTTGCATATATATGTTAATCAGATGTTACTGTCCTGCTCAGGATATTAGCACGTAGATCTCCTTCATTTCTTTATTTTATATGTGTATTGATCATTTTGCAAATCATGCAAGTTATGAAAAAATATATCAGGTGAAAAGAATATTAATGCAAGAAAAAATATTCTTCTTGATTTTGACAATGAACGTGTGAGGAGAAGAATTGTGTTAGTGTTATTGACAGCATTTTTGAGTGCTGTAGAAATATAGCTGGAAATTAAAGTGAACATTTATGTATGAGGTTTCGAATAACACTTCATTTAACTGAACAACCTTAGAAATGTGAATTACCAACTGTGTTTATAAGTTTAGTTGTGCTGATAGCTTTAAATGAACCATATATAATTTCTTTTTATATAACTTGGCAGTTCTTCACCCAAATTAACCCATTTTCGGACGAAAATTTTAAAATGTCGTATGTTGAATCTACACAATGTATGTAATATTTAACAAAATTATAGAAACCAACCAACCTATTTCTTGGCCAACAGTCGGATGTATTAGACAATCCTGGAGAGCGATAGATACATTAGACACGGCAGTAACATAGGGTTCGCTTTCCTTAGTACTGTGATACTGTTGTTATTCAAAATATATTTCATATAAAAACTTAGATATAAAAAACTAAAATCAAGGAAAAAATACGCATACCGCAGGTATTGTTTGTTATAAGAATAAGAAACACCGGCTCATCTCGAACTTTGTTGCAATTTGGGTAACCTCACATTACAAATTAATGAAGTGCTACGTCAAACCAAGTGTGGTAACCTCACATTACAAATTAATGAAGTGCTACGTCAAACAAATTGTGGAGTTCTTTACTCGCTGTTCGCAGTAGCATCTCTAAGTATGCTTCGATCTCTTCGAAGTAGTATTTAGAAAAAGTGACGTTTTTTCATTCCTGGTGTAAAATATTATAAAAATTCTAACTAAGATATATCGTATGCAATATGTTATGAGACACACCTACTTTGTGTCCTATTGTCTTGATCACTAGAGAAAAGAGTGTGTACATGCCTATACAATATGCTGTTTTTGTGTGATTGTGGGCTATTCAAAGGCAGCACAGTACAAATGTGACCTTGCCATACACCGACGGCCATCCCCAAGGTTACTTTGACTACATATCGTTTGCCCTAATATGAAGTACACATGCACTGCTATACTATACTTTGTATTGTCTCTTAACGTCAAAGTAAAATAACTAGAAAATGACTTGCCAATCAAATACATTTGATGAATTGTAACATAACAGGATTTTTAAATTCACCACCAAAATATTGTTCCTTGTATGTCAAAATGTTGAAGCTAACACTTTTTGCTAAACTATTTCATACTGAAAGCTTAAATCTGGTTTATATCTCTTAAATCTGGTTTATATCTTTTTAAATCTGGTTTATATCTTCTTCCAAAATCGAAACCCAGTGATAAACAGTCGTATAGTTTGAAATTGAGCTGCTCAATATTCGTTGTGTTATTTTTTCTGACGCTTTCAGTAAACTGTCGTTAAGCTTATTTTGTACAATGAAGACAACTGAAGTGCATTTGTAACATGATTTATATCATGTACGGTAACATAACTGAAAGGGAAACATCTCAACAAATATACCATCTGTGGTACTAAAGGCCGCCTCTCTTACAGATTAGGAGTTGTACACGGTACGACTGCACTCCTGTCACACCTTGTCAGCATTTCTCATTTCCTTTCATACTTCATGTCTTCTACATTTTGAAAAACAAATGTTTTTGCAGTTTTATATCGAAAAATCCTTGAAATGTTTTTTATCCTTGTGCCTCTCCATGTGTTGATGCAGATCTACTGGCGACCTCAATGGATGCAGATGCTGGGGTTGTGTATAGGTTCTCTATGTACATACAGGCTGTAGTTTTTCATATTCATACCTTAATGTAGAACATCATATATGGAGTGAGAACAATTAAAAAACTGTTTTTTCCAAATATTAAAATAAATATCAGTTTATGTACATATGTAAAATACTTGAAATCATCAACTTTCTTATGTTTCGACGTGTGAGATCAAATGTACGACTGGGAGTAAAAGTTGTATCTGAGATTCCTTATAAGATACCGGTATATCAGTTGTTATATCATTCATGACTCTAGCGCATTATTAAGGGTCACGTGCAAACATTTTCATAAATACTGAAAGAGGTGAATATTACTTTAGAAACATAATAAGCATTTAATTAGTTTTATTATTTCATATGTGATAATTAATTGGTGGGGGTGGTCGAAAATATATCGATACAGATAAAGAATCTGACCTCGCCTCAGGTTACTGTAATAGTAAATTAAAAATCAACACATCTTTGTGACTAAGTCAACGGAGTTCAGACCCGTGGAATAAGTCTATGATAGCAAAACATAAAAGAATATATGCGATTTGTAAACGATTTACAGTATTTTGGCGATACCAGAGAGATATTAAAATATTAACAGATTTTTAACATGACCGCTAAAATCAATGAACGCCTCGTGTCACTCATTTGTCCGTTCTGGGGGGGGG